GAGGCCGAGTCCCACGTACAGCAACTAGAAGGATGTGAACCTATGACATACAACTATCTACTGGGGCTTTGGGGGGAAAAAACTGAATAAATAAAAAAAATCTTTAAAAGTTTATAAAGAAATTGTTGTCTTATTGATTGAAAAGTAGCAAATTAGTGTTTGTATTACATATGAAGTAGATCTTAGGTAGGAAAAAAACTTGTTTACAATGAACACTATATATATATAATTTTTATACTTTATATGTGTGTATACATACTTTTTATACTTTATATGTATAAAAAAAGTATATACATATAGATATACAAACATATATGTATATACTTTTTTTTCTTTTTAAACCCAAGAATTCAAAGTTAAAGAGCTAGGTTATAAAAACAATAGTCCTATTTGTAAGATGACATATTTGCATTAAGGAAATGATTTGTTTTCTTATACTATGCAATATTTTTCTTTTAAATTTAGTTTTTGATGATGAAGAAGAAAGCAAATTGACCTATACAGAGATTCATCAGGAATACAAAGAACTGGTGAGTATTTTTTTTCACTGATTTTTAAAGGTAATTAAAATAATAATTTTAGTTCTTCTAAATTAAAAAAGTGGATTTTCCATTAAAATTCTTTACTTAAAAAAAAATCCAATCTACCCTAATAACTACCAGTTGCGTCAGGCTCCAACAGTTCTCTGAGCATCTCATCGTTATGACTTCTTACCTATTCTACTCTAGAATCTAAGGAATGGATTTAGGACAACTAATTTACCCTTAAAATGCATCTAGTCTTGCATCTCATCTTTAAATTTTATTCTTATTCTTCTGCTAATGCATCCAGGGAAGTGTTAATTATTAATTTAGCCATGGTTGTCTTGTGATTTTTAAAAATGCCTCTGGGTGGCAGAAGAGTTGTACCATATTGAACGTCATAATCCTGACTTCACTTATTTATAGTAGAGGAAATAAAATTTCATTTAATTCTATGCAGAAATTTTAACTTTCTGTTGTTTGTTTTTTCAGTGAAAGACATTGTCACTGTCATGTAATATAATTTTATGTAGATTAATAATTGCAAACAAGCATTTGATTATACTTCTAAATTCAGTATTTAACATGAAAACTATCATTTGGAATTTTTCTATGTACATTATAAAAGTTAAGCTTTCTCTTCTTAGGTTGAAAAGCTGTTAGAAAGTTACCTCAAAGAAATTGGAATTAATGAAGATCAATTTCAAGAAGCATGCACTTCTCCTCTTGCAAAGACCCATACATCACAGGTTTTTGCTTTTCTATTATTCTGCTAACATAGTTTTAACACATAAAATGCCCAGGGTTTCACTTAAATTTGCTATGTTTGATTATCAAAGTATAATATTCTAGACATTGTGAGAGTGAAAAGCTAATTTATCACATTTGGGTTCTTTTTTGTTTTTTTTTTAAGGAAGATTGGCCCTGAGCTAACATCTGTTGCCAGTCTTCTTCTTTTTTTCCCCTTTTTCTCCCCAAAGCCCCCAGTACATAGTTGTATATCCCAGTTGTAGGTCCTTCTAGTTCTTTTGTGTGGGATGCCGCCTCAGCATGGCTTGATGAGCAGTGAGTAGGTCTGAGCCCAGGATTGAACCGGCAAACCCTGGGGCCGCCGAAGTGGAATGTGTGAACTTAACTGCTGCGCTGCTGGGCCGGCCCCCACTTATGGGTTCTTTTTTATAATTACCTTGAGAAATGATAATTTGAGGCATTAATGAACTGATGCAATTAAAAAGGAACCTTCTGAACTCAGAACTATAGTAGATCACAGAGTTTATTCAGAGTACTGTTTTATTTATATAGATCTCTAACAATTTTCCACCTCCCCCTTATTTTAATGTTAGCAGATGCACAATATGCAGTTCCTGGGGCTTCCTTCTCTTGGAACTATTTTTATTGTCTCATTTGTGCAGTGCTTGGCTGAAGTTGGTATTATGTGTTTTTATAGCTAATATTTACTGAGGGCTCATGCTAGCTGCTGTTTTAGGCACTTGACATGTATTATCTCATTTAATCTTCCTGACACCCTTTAAGAAATTGGTATTATTTTACTTCCATTTATAAATGAGAAAACTGATGCACAGATATATTAAGCAACTAGTGCAAAGTCCACAGCTAAGTGAGTAGTAGAGCCAAGATACCAGGCCAGGCACTCCAGCTAAGAGCCGTTACTTAGAGGCTGAGGACAGGGCTATGTTACTACCACCCAATTAGCCTTCTTCTCCAAAATTGCTTTAGCTTTCCATCTTCTGCCAAGTAAACTATAATTCCTTAGTGAGATGATAGTGAGGATTGTCTATGATGTGACCCCTAATTATATTTAGCCTTTTTCTCTGGCTATAGTTCTCCAATACATTATGTAGTACACTCTTCCAGGCCACTTGCTCTTGTAAGCATCCATGCACCTGGCTTTGCTCATGCTATGCCCTTAACCTGGAACATTTGGCCCCCACCTCCCCACCCACCATCCTTTCCTTACCCAGAGAAATCCTTCTCATCATCAGGGCCTGGCTGGTATGTTACTTCTTACGGCAGCTTTCCTGATCCCTCTAGTCAGACTAGCACTTATTCTGCCTCACTTGGCACTTTTACATTTTTGGTACTCTGCCTTGAATTAGAGTTTCTTACAATTCTGTTTGCCTTACTAGACTATAAGTCCTTTGAGCTGTTTTTAGTATCTTTGCATTCCCAGCATCTAGCACAGAGAGGAGAACTTTATCCCTAGTAGTAGTTCTCAATAAATATTTATTGTTTTCTTATTGTGGCCTAGAAGAGATTGCTTTCACTACGGTTTAATCCAGCACTTGCTGCTACAGTTCTTTTTTGCACAACTTCTGCTCACTTAAGGATCACCTTTAATTCTAGAGATAGAAAATCTTTAATATGACATTTAAAAAAATATTTAAATGTTATCAGTATGCCCACACAAATGTAAACAAACATCTGATGTTATTAGTTAATAATTCTATAAAGCAAAATTTGCTTTATAGTTCACTAATAGCTTTTATTCTATAGGTACTATAGTTTTAGTGTAAGGAATAATTATAGGCATTATTTTCTTCGCCTTTTTAGTTGAATAGGAAGAATTTGAAAATTATTAACTAGTGTTTAAATTTCTTTTAACACATTGGTATTTGTTTTTGTTTTCCTTGTCTTTCAGGAATATTTTCTGCTTAATATTTGTCAACCATTAATTAAGCCATTGTGAATGAGTCTGAATTACTTTGTGAATAAAGATTTTCACAGTAATAGTAGACACATCCCTCTTTTGTTTTCGTTATCAGGATAACTTTAAATTATTTGTGAATGAAGATGTTCAGATTTTTTTTGTGTGTGTGTGAGGAAGATCAGCCCTGAGCTAACATCCATGCTAATCCTCCTCTTTTTGCTGAGGAAGACTGGCTCTGAGCTAACATCTATTGCCAATCCTCCTCCTTTTTTTTTTTCCCCCCAAAGCCCCAGTAGATAGTTGTATGTCATAGTTGCACATCCTTCTAGTTGCTGTATGTGGGACGTGGCCTCAGCGTGGCCGGAGAAGCGGTGCGTCGATGCGCGTCTGGGATCCGAACCCGGGCTGCCGGTAGCGGAGTGCGCACAATTAACCACTAAGCCATGGGGCCGGCCCTGTTCAGAATTTTAAAATGTTTTCCAACACTAAGCCACGGGGCCGGCCCTGTTCAGAATTTTAAAATGTTTTCCAATCAAGAGTGACGCATCTTTCTCTTTTGTTGTATCATACAACACCTTTTGATTTATTTGGAGTTGATTGGTAGTACAGCCTTGTTATGTACAAGGAGGCAAGCCTTTTGACACAGACAGACCTGGATTTGAGGCTTAGATCTTTCATTTACAGCTGTAAGACCTTGGACAAAAGTTGTTTTACAGTTTTCCTTTCTTATCCATTCTTGTTTTCAGTGTCCACATCTGTAAAATAGGGGTAATATTTACAGGCATACCTCATTTTATTGTGCTTCGCTTTATTGTGCTCTGCAGATATTTCGTTTATTACAAGACCCCTTCACCAGCAAAAGGGTTATGACTCACTGAAGGCTCGGGTGACGGTTAGCATTTTTTAGCAATAAGGTATTTTTTAATTAGCTATGTACATTGTTTTTTGCGGCATAATGCTATTGCACACTTAATAGACTACAATATAGTGTAAACAATTTTTGTGTGCACTGGGAAACCAAAAAATTCGTGTGACTTGCTTTATCGTGATATTCGCTTTATTGTGGTGGTCTGGAACCAAACCTGCCATATCTCTGAGGTATGCTTGCACTTTGAAAAGTTTTTGTGAAATTTAAGAAATAAGTTTTGTAAAACATTTAGTGCAATGCCTGACATATATAAGGTGGTCTATAAATGGAAACACTTTCTTAATTAATGGTAGCTATTTTGGTGGTTGATTAGCAGTGTGCTAATTAGGCCAGGGTCATGGATTCAATCCCCATGTGGACTAGTTAGCTTTATTCTCTTCTGGAGCAAGCTCAGCACCAGACACTGAATAGCAACATGATTGAATCAGCACCAGGCCGTCACCATTACCAGAAAAACAACTCAAAACACATTATGTACTACTTTGCAGCAGTAATCTAATCTTTGTACATAAAGATCAGAATGCTAATTCCATTATGCCAATATGGGGTGCCTAAAAATGAACTCAAGAAACCAGTTGCTTGCCCTGGGTAATTTAGGAGGTAATTTTTATTTTGTTTGGTTTGCTTTTGATTTTTTAAACCAGCTGCTGCTCCCATTGAATTGTACTCCTAAAGCCTGCTTGCAAAATTCTTTTCACCTGGTTTGGTCATCATTAGACCTAGACCGCTGTCCTGGCATGTTGTGGTGTATTCAAGTCAGCAGGAGTAGCGAGTGCATCAGATGAAGAACTGTAGTTTAAAAAAACAACAACAAAATCTTTTTCAGAGCATGTTTTCCTGTTATATGTGTGTGGTTTCTTAAAAAAAATGCTCATGAATTAGGATATCCTTCTAAACAGTTCAGGAAAAAATGGTAATATAATAAATATTGAGATATTTATTAATGCAGTTGTCTTCGGTTAAAATTTGTAATTCTGTAGTGTTTTCCAATTGATATAGGCAAAACTGACTTCCTTCCTTGCTTGTGATTTTTTGGTGAGGCTAGAGCTCATCACTGATTTCTATGTATTGCAAAAGTTGGGGACTTTTATATGGCAAGAGACAAACAGTACTTTTTGCTTTTCATTTTGTTTTTTACTTGATCTGCTTTAACTTTTATAAGATAGGCATTAACACTTTCAGAAACATTTGTATTATAGTAATGGTAATTTGGGAAAATTACACTTTTTTCCAATAACTTGTATTGTTCAAAAGATTACATATGTGGTGTAACTTTCATTTTCTACAATTACATATAGGATAATTAATGATATTTTGTATGAATGCTAGTAAGATTTTAAAAAATTAATAGGGTTTATTTTATAGAGAAGTTTTAGGCTTACAGAAAATTGAGCAGATAGTACATCTTATTATTAACATCTTTCATTAATGTGGTATATTTGTTACAATTGATGAGCCAATATTGATACATTGTTATTAAGTAAAGTTCATAGTTTCCATTAGGGTTCACTCTTTGTGTTGTATGCTTCTATGGATTTTGCCAAACACATAATGTCATATATCCATCATTACAATATCATACAAAATAGTTTTATTGCCTTAAAAATCCTCTGTGCTCCTCATATTCATCCTTTCCGTCTTTGCCTCAAACCCCTGGCAACCACTGATTATTTTACTGTCTCTCCATTTTTAGTTTTTCCAGAATGTCATATAATTGGGATCATACAGTATATAGCCTTTTCAGACTGGCTTCTTTCACTAAGCCATATGAATTTAAGGTTCCTCTATGTTTTGTGTTTTTTGATAATTCATTTCTTTTTATTGCTGAGTAATATTCCATTATATGGATATACCACAGTTTGTTTATCCATTTACGTTTTGAAAGACATTTTGGTGGCTTCCAGTCTTCGGTAATTATGAATAAACCCACTATAAATATTTGTATTCAGGCCTTTGTGTGGAGGTAAAGTTTTCCACTCATTTGGGTAAGTAGGAGTGAGCTTGCTGGATCATATGGTAAGATTAAGTTTAGCTTTGTAAGAAACTGCCAAACTCTCTTCTAAAGTAGCTGTACCATTGTGCATTTTCACAAGCAATGAATGGGAGTTTCTGTTGCACGTCTTCGTCAACATTTGGTATTGTCAGTTTTTTGG